AATGAGGCCTGGAAGAGTTCGAAACTGCAGCCCGGCCTGGATGAAAATATCTATTGTGAAGCAAGGCCATGAAATTTAGTGAAATATGGGCAAATTAAACGATCAATCCTTCATTACCTTGAATACAACTTATTTTACTCTTATTTTTATATCAAATAATTTTGTTCATTAAGAATTTAATTTCTATAATAATGACTCAAAATTAGTTAAGTCGATACTTCCAAGAGTTAAAATTAAACAAACATATTAAACCTTTTTCTTCATTTACCAGCTTGCCATCCTTCCCATCTACCGCATACCCCTCATTTTCATGCTCCCTTTTTTCTCCCACATTTGCTGTTTTGCTCTTGTTGGGGAGACTTTCCTTCCGTATGAAAGTGCATGAAGAATAGAATTGAATGTTGATCTCATCTGAGGACAATGGCTGGTTCCTGTTCTATTGCAGCCGTTGACTTTAATACAGTGTTCGGGTGGATGCAGTCCACGTGACATCCTCTCTTCTTTCGAATCAAAATGGGCTGAATTCATTTCTTTAAAAGTCTTAAATTACACCAAATCAAGAGTCCCAGCTCTGATGATGCTCGTAATATGCTGAATGAATGCCCATTTTCACTCGAAACGAGGAAGTCCGTCTCATGGACTGAGTCAACCCGAACATTGTTAAAGCCAAACGGCTGCAGTACAGCTGGAATCAGCCGTCGTCTTCTGGTGAGATCGTCCTGATCCCTTCTTCATGCACTTTCATATGAAATGCAAGTCTTCCCCAACAAGGTTATCTTAACCCAGTTATTCTTCATATGTGTTTTTTTATTATCAGATATTCACGGCATGAACCTTTCACTACGCTAAACGTGGACATTCGAAACCACCAGAATCTAACGGAGTCTCTAGAACAGTACGTAAAAGGCGACCTACTTGAGGGCGACAATGCCTACTTCTGTGAAGCCTGTGAGAAGAAAGTTAATACACTTAAGCGACTCTGCATCAAGCGGTTGCCGTTGGTGCTCACTATCCAGTTAAAACGATTTGACTATGACTGGGAGAAGTGAGTCCATCAACCACCAGATCTGAACACATTTTCACAACTTTTTGTTCTCTTCTTTTACTTACATGCATATTTTCTTGTATTTCACCAGCAATTATTTGATTATTTGTCTCAAATCCGTCTTATTTTTACCTCATAAGTTTGCATTAATTTAGCATCAGTGATTGGCTAGTTTTAGTGTGAGTATATAACTTATTTACTTCCAGGTTCCTCCATTCATTTAACCAGCATTCCTATATATGCCCCTACCTTAGGAAACATTTGCATTAATTTTCTTTTCTTTTCTAATCAGGAGTGTCCCGACAAAGTTCAATGACTATTTCGAGTTTCCTCGAGAGATAGATATGGAACCATATACAGTCGAAGGTGTAGAACGTTTGTCTACTGACGCCCGTCTTATTGGTCTCAATCACGATTCTATTCCCTTGGAGTCTAGAGAGCAAAGTGATTCAATATCCTATTCTGAGGTTCAGACGGACTCTAAGCCTAAGGATTCTTCGGTCCAGGGAGATTCAGGGACTCCAGTACCGACGCGCTACACTCTGCGTGGCGTTGTGGTGCACAGTGGATCTGCCAGCGGTGGTCATTATTATTCCTTCATCCGGCACTTTAAACGAGAAACAGGCAGCTATGTTTGGTATAAATACGATGACATGGATGTGAGTTGCATTCAGTGCCAGGCCTGACCTACATATACATAGAGTTTTAAACCGAGATAAAGCGACTTTATTCTTTTTCTCACCATTCTCACTTATCGCTTGATTTTTATTGGGAAGCATTTAATTTGTTTTTACGGATTGTATTTACATTCTAAGTATTTACACACGAGGCCGGTTCTCTCATGAGTGATCTTTTTTACAGCTTAATCAAATTTTTTGACAAAATATTTAGTATATCCCATTATTGTCGATAGACAGGGACTCACTTACAACCTGCAACCTAAATGCGAGACATTCATGAAATTTCCTGTTTGCCTACCACGAATCAGCAAAATATTTTGGAAAAAGCCAATTCTACCGCTATACATAAACTGTACTGGATCACGGCGCTAAACGTTATTTTTCAATTTTACTCTAATCCACACCTTAAGAATCCTTACTTTCGTCCTCCTGAGGAAATCTTAAATATTAGCTTTCTCATTTAACTTTACTAGTAAAACTAAGAGTAATTGTAAGGATCTTATAGTCATAATTGACTTAAAATTTCAAATATTTTGTGCATGTGTAGTTATGCCTGTTGGAGGAAACTTTTAGCTTTAGGTTTATTTTACTTCACATTAGGCCTTGGAAACTTTACGAATTAACGATGCATAGTTTCTTGCATTCCTCCCTTGACTACATTGCTATTTGGAGAGATTATCGCTTGTTTTTTATCTTTTGTTAATATTGTAGATATGAAGACTAAGATGGTACGGCCTTCTGTTCGGTTAATATTGTTTTCGAGCTCTTATTATTTTTTTCGAAAAAAGTTTACATTTTCACTACACCTAGTTATTTTCTTAGAGCTAGACTATATTGAAATAAGCTGAAGGAAGGCCATACGTTGATTAGCAATAAGGTATATAAGGAGATTATTGCATAATGATTCCACTGTGAATTTTGTGTATTATAGTCAATATAGAATTTATTTAATTATCATTGCTTGGAATATGCTTTAAGCTTTTCCGAAAAGCCTCGACTGTCCCTCTATTCAATATAATACACCATCTTCCTTAGCCAGATGTATCAGTGAACTGCCTCATTCATTCTGTATCATATGCTAAGTCACCTATATCACAAGTATATTAGTAACATCATCTTATCATCAAGAGTGCCATGCATTCTATTTTGGGGAAATGAGGTCAGTCTACTTGTAAAATTTAGATAGAAGGAAAGATTTGTAGGAGTCACTTCTGCTGCAATGCTTCTTTTAGTGTTTCCTGCCTTAGCAATCATGATAATTTCCAACACTAGATTGTTGATGCTTCGCTTACATCGTCATTGAGAAACGCTATACCTAGGACTGAGCTAGAACTCATCATAGTGACTTATTAAATGTGTTTATTTGATTTACCTACTCAATGAGTTGTAGCTCGATGCTAAGACTAGTGCTTCTCACTAATGATGCCGGATAAACGTTCGATTTGATGTTAAAAATTGTTATAACCACTGGCAAAAAACACAGGATTCAGTATGTTCTTTGAGTGTCCTCT